CCTATCTCGATCCCTCAGCTATTTGATAAGGAAATTGCACTGAAAGGAGATTTGGGACTTCTTGACATGCTGGTAGAAATTGCCGTCAAATGTCTTGACGATGATGTGGTTATAAGACCGTCAATGGTAGATGTTGCAAAGCGCCTTTCTATACTGGATCGATCCCTTAAATCGTGAGTTGACAAGTCAATGCATTTACTAGTTGAGTTTTGAACGTCAAATAAGCTGATAGGGAGATATATGTGTGGCGACGTTTAATTTATATATTTTGCTGTTGTACAGGGGGATGCTAGGACAAATAGTCGTCAGTATGACTCGGATGCTAGGACAAATAGTCGCCAGTATGACATGAGACGATCCCATAGCGATGAATGATCCCGTAGGACAAATAGTCCTAGTAGTCGTCACTAGGTGGTCCACGGACATGGTTGTAATTTTTGTTACCTCAGTTGTTCTTTGTACTGCCATGATTGAAGATGAATGGATTGAAAGTTTCTCGCAAAAGAATAAAACATGATGCGTAATTCAGACTGTATCTCGTACTCAATAGTCAATATATATTATTACAAATATATACATAAAGAAATACAAACCCTGTTTAGAAAAGTAGTAGACCTCTTCTATTGTTGGCCTCTCTGTATTCACACGCTGACAGTTTGGTATAATCCTTTTTCTGATTATAAATCTTTCATTTGCTGGCACGTGAACAAGATCCTCTTAACTAAACTGTTAGGCTCTGGTTGTGGCTGGAGGTGGCCGTGGAGCGCTGCATCGCAGCTCCCAGAGCCACCGGCGACGCTCCATCGCAGCACCACGAGCCACCGAAGGCCTGCTCCATGGCAAGACCGAGCGCGACACCACCGGCAAAGCTTCATTGCAGCTCCGGGGAAGCTTCATTGCAGCCCTGCCGGAGTCCGTTCCATCCTCATCGCCGCTTCAATGACCGCGGCGGCGCTCCAGTGCAGCCTCGGGCAGTGCTCCAATGCAGTCCCGACCGGCGCGACAGAAAGCTCCAACGCAGCATCTCATGTGTGCGGCGTTGCAGCACCGGTGGTGAGCGCGCCCGCCTCCTCCCTTCGTGCTGCCTTGCAACACCGGCGGCGAGTAGCCAGCCTCCTCCTGCATGCTGCGTTGCAGCACCGGTGGCGAGCGACGCCCGCCTCCGATTTTCGTGCTTCATTGCAACACCGGTGCGGAACGGTACACTGGTGGCCGGCGTCGCCCTTCCTGCTCGCAACGATGGCGTTGTTCAACACCGACAGCAGTTAGGCAGCGCGCGGGGAACTACAGGTCGACGCGGGTGCTGCAGGTCGCCGACTCCAGGAGTGCGGCAAGTCGCGGCCGAGGGCTGCAAGCTGCCCCGCAGTTTGCTCCGACAAGGGCTAACGGCAGAGAGGTCGGGCGGCTGGCTCCGACGAGGTAATGGGGAAGTGGTGGACGACATGTGCGACAAGACAGAGGTAGGAGCGAGGGGATAGAGAAAAGGGGATCTCGGTCAGTTGGGAAAAGGAAACAAGCGCGTTGACGCAAGAGATAAGGGAAGGGACTGCACGGGAGCGTGGCGTGGCCCCATGAGGACGCGTGGCGTCCAGGCGACACGGCTAAATTCTGAAGAAATCAGCCGGATGTTTTAGAACGTTTTCCAAAGTTTATGTACGAGACTTGTAACTTCCTGATACATCGCTTCGGCCTGGCCTTTCCCGACCCACCCTCCCGCGTCGCTCCCGTGAGCGACGGGGAGGGAACCCTAGCCGCCGGGGCAGCATCACCCCCCCGCCCCCGCCGGCTGGCGTTGACGGGCAAAGCCCGGTTGGCGTGGCGGCGGCAGGTCTCTGCTCCTCTCTACCTGTGGTGCGGTTGGCGTGGGACAACGACATCGGGCGGTGGCGCTGGGCTGTCATGGGGCTTAGCAGGACGGTGGCGTGGCCGACGGCCAGGGGCGCGCCTGTGGTGCGGGGTGGGGTCCTCTTCCAGATGGATACGTGCGGGCCGCCTACAGCTAGATCCGGCCAGGTCTGATGCTGTGGGGCTGGCGTGCGACGTGGGGCGGGTGCAGCGGCGGCCTGGCTTGGCGGCTGTGGTGCTGGTGCGGGGCCATCTAGGCTCGGCTGGGTCGTGGTGGCGCCCTCTGCGGGCCGGAGGTTCCCGGCGGATCTGAGCTTCCGTCGGGCTGTGGTGGTGCGGTGTCTTCTCGCGGATGTGGCGGTGAGGTAGAGGTCCGGTGGTGGTGGCCTTGGTTTGGACGGTGCTGACGAAGCTCTGTGTGGGAGCTGATGGGGGCGGGTGCGCCGGACGGCTGCTCGCTGCTGGAGTTGCCGGCTGCCATGAGCGGACGTCGTCCGCCTTTTTCCGGGTGCGGTTGCTATCTATGGGCTGGTGCGGTAGACTCGCCACCGGGAAGGAGATTGACGTGGTCCTCTAGCCCGGGGTTGGTTGCTCCTCATGTGAGTTCCGAAGCGGTGTCTCCTTGGAGTCAGGTTGCTCGGCTCTGGGTTGCCTCCGTCTAGCCAAGGTGGGAGTTTGCGGCTTGGTTGGGGAGGCGTCTTCACGTTCTGGTGTCGATGAAAGCCCGTGGCACGGTGGTGGTGGCGGTGGTCGTGTTAGCGTTGCATCGATGCGCGTATCGCCGCGGTGACGAAGTATATGGCGTCGTGTGAGCTCGCATGGCCATGGGTTCGAGGTTGGCTCGTTGACAGCCATCTACCAGGCATTGGCTGGGGACGCAGGTGTGAGTGCCTTCTACAATGGAGGCGCCTACCCAGACTCAGGGACTGATGCCGGGTTGTTTGATGCAGTACCGGACCTAATTTATTCAGTTTGTACAGTTTTGTCCCCTCCTATAATGAAAAGGCACAGCACATGTCGTTCCGGTCAAAAAGTTTGAGCAACATGTATGTTGTGTTTTTGATGAAGGGCGTTTTAACATGTATGTTGTGTTGAGTAAGCTTTACATGTGAGCGTGTGATGATCGAAGTGCTGCCGTGAACAAATACTATTTGAAATCTCACCTGTAAAGTGCACAAAGCACGCCCTCTCAAGCCTCCAGTAAGAAAAGCTCAGTAGCATTGTTGGTTATGCTTCTCTTGTGTTTATTGCCTGGTGTGGATTTGTGGCTTCCATTTTATTCGCACCAACAACCTTTGATGTTAATGGTTAATGTTATGATGTTAGATAATAATTCTTGCAGTGTGTACTGTTGACTCTGTTCATAGGGTTTGGTTAATGCTGGTGGAGTTCACATCATGTTGCCACCAAACCAACTGTGGCGTGCGTGGTGATATGAGTAGTGACTAGTGAGTCAGTCTCCATTCCTTTATGGAACCTGCAGTGCAATTCATGCTATGGACGATGATAGTGGTGTTCGCACTGAAACGACCGAGTTTCAGTCAAGTTCTTCGGCTGTCCATCCTTTCAGCTAATCAACCCAACATGTAGTAGAGTAGTTTGCATCTCTCGTTGCTTGCCATGTGTGTGCTGTGTACCACCTACCACGCGGTTATAGATAGAGATACATAATGGAATCTTGCTATACAGTACGACGATTAAAAGCAGCCGCACATGCATGGGTAGGATTGAGCTGACGAGGACCGCCGAATTGAAAATCGGAAAGTGCATACCGTATGTGGAGAAGTTTCGGATATAATACTAATTAAGCGCCCCCTTCCCCCGTAATCATGCCATCTGCCCAAGCTTTTAGTCTATTCCAACTCCGCGTCTCCGCCGAGTGATGCTTATCCCTCTACAACAACACCAACCGCGGAAGTTCACAAAGCTTGAGAAACATCCATAAGAAACCACGACGATCGAGCTGCTGCCTACACGGAGGCGACGCGCCGGAGGAGTACCTGCTAGCTACGGCAGCGCGGAGGCGACGCGCCGGAGGTGGAGCTGCTGCTTCTTCTTGTCGGCCGGACAACACATCTTCCCCGCCGATCACCGCGTCTTCTACCGCCGTTGGCTTTCGCCAGCCGTACGTCAAGCCGCTGCGTCGGGTACCAAATCGGTGAGTGGCTATTTCGCTCTTCCTCGAGATCCATGGATGCATCGGCCGATTCTTGTCGATTCTTTAGCGATTTCGGGATCAACCGAGCGCCGGTATAATCCATGTACAACTGGAAATTACCAGGAAGGGGCCCTCTGTCGATTTTCGTTAAGATAGAGAAAGAAATAAAATAGTTCATAAAAACATAAAAACAGACTACATGGCAGCAGCCATGGCCAACCTCCTCCGGTCAAAATCCTCCTTAGGGCATCTCCAAGGTGGTCACTCAAACCTCTTGCAAGCGTCCCGAACGCGCTGTTCAGATGCAATTTGTTATCCAACGCATATCCGTATCAGTCGTCCGACACGTCCGGACATCCATCTTTTCGCAAATCTGAACCAAACAAAAGGGGGCTCTGCGGGCAGGATGTCTGCCTGAGGATACCCTTTCCTCCCTGTCCGGATGGCGGAAGGCCACCCTGCTATTTGGCTGGTGCATGTTGCTTTGGCGGAAAGTAATCGGATAACATGTTGTTTGGCGGAAAGTGATAGCATTACCTACATGTTGTTTGGCGCAAAGTTAAGCATGCATGCATGTAGTTGGGGGAAGTTAAGCTTGCATGCATGTTATTTGCTTTTTTTAAGTGCTTTTATCCATTTAAAGAGTGATTGCTACTCATATATTTGGTGGATGGTTATTACTGTTTGACGGAAGGCGGACGAATATTTGATTATAGGATTAGATGAATGGCTCTCGGCTGCACGTCAAGCCAAACCGATTTTCGGATAAATACCGTATCTGTTTAGATGTCAGCGTTGGAGATGCCTTTAACCAGAATTGGCACCAGCAGAAGAAACGGTGGCCGAGTTTTGTCTGGTGGTGGGAAAGCTGGGCGTCCTGCGGCCTCTCGATCCAGCAGGAGTTGCGGGTGGCGCTGGGGGCAGTCTAGGCTGCGGATGGCGGTGTTCCTCCTCAGTGACTAGCTGCGGGAACAAGATGCATCGGAGGCTTTCCCTGCGATGTTGCCCCTCCCACCGGCAGCGGAGCTTGTGGAGGAAGGATAAGATGAAGATAGGAGGAGGCCAAATGGTCAACTGGGTTAGAGTCCTATGGAATATAGAGTAACAGATTATGAGAATTCGCAAATTATCTCTAAACTATTCAATCAAACAAAAATAACAGATTCCTCATGTATCTCCATGTACTCTAGCAATGTATAGGAGTTGGACCAGGCATAGTTATTTCTGATCTAGATAAGAGCTAACCACACTCATACAGTAAAGTATACAGTAAGTCAAGGTACCAACAACTCCAATCATACCTCTAACTATTTTAAACCCTGTTGCTAGAGAAAGGAGGACATGGCCGGCTGAATTTTATTTATTTTTATCTAAAACGAAATGACGTAAGGAAGCTAATCACACCATTAGTTTAGTGGACGCAACGACCATCGTCATCTATATACGATTAACTAGAGCCCAACTTGCTTTACATCCGACACTAATCTGGCCGGACATTTAAGCACGACCAAAAGCGTTGACGCGGCGAGCTAGGCAGCCCGGGGTCTTCCTCAAAGCTCACGAGCACCGTGGTGATCCGATAGTTCTTTGCTCACCGGGCCAGCGGATTCTACAGAACTTGTTACTTCACAATACTCCGTTGCCATGGTATGTATTTGTCGAAAAGCCTTTCGCCCTGTTATATATACAAAGCAACAATCAATAAATAGGAAGCATACAAACACACACTAACACCAACCCTGCTGGGGATACCAGCTATAGAAGAGAAGCTCATTTGGGCGAACAGGAAACTAACAACATGAACCAAGCAAAGCTAAATGAAGCACTAAACAAAAGAAGCTTGCTTGTTCCTGGCAATGTGCATAATCTTCCCGGGGCGCCACGGCACCACTTATCAAGCAGGCCACGCTCCCACGACACACTCCAATTGCTGGGCCTACAGATACATGATGATACCATCAGTTTGAAGGAGGGGTCAAAATAACAACGAAACAGGGAACTAAAAAACATGAACAAAGCAAAGGTAAAGCACTATAACTAAAGGAGCTTGCTTTTCCTAGCAAAGAGCACAAGTCTTTTCGGAGCACCTCGACACATCTCATCAAGCAGCTCACCACTCCTTTTCGAAAGAGCAATGTGCATAAGTCTTCCCGGAGCGCAACGACACCGCTTACCAAGCAGGCCACCACTCCCATGGC